CAGCTCTTAGCCTGCTTTCATGCCTCTTGCACCCGTGTGTCCTTTACATGGGCTGGGTATACTTGGCCGTGTGGCTCCACGTGATGGGTTGTGCCCAAGAGCTTTGCGGGTATGCTGGTTTTGAAAAACCGGTGAAATTCGAGTAGGCCAAGCTTCTTCCCCCAAGCATAATCCAAAAATGACTTGCCAAGCCTACCACGAAACAGACTCTGCGCACGCGGTAGTCAGGGATCAGTACAACCGAAGCATAACGCCAAGACAACCGCCCACCCAACTTAGACAACTTCTTAGGGCACCGATTTCTTCCAAACCAGCCCAAAAGGCGAATGTTCAGATGCAGATTTAACAGCTGACTATGAGAGGAAGGCCTTGAGGCCCTCAGGTCTTCTCCAAAACCTAGAGCTCCCCTCTTAGGAGGTTCTTGAGTAAAGATTCAAATGCTTTGGAGTGAATACGGTGGATTCTACCCTGATTTTTGGAGAATGCATTCAGTTAGGCTTTAAGTTTTGGCGAGGTGCACCCCATGAGTGGTAAGAGTTGAGTGTGCTGTATATCTTGCTAGAAGAAAGGTTGACCACTGCGCCATGAAAGCCTGTGCATGTAGGGCAATCACAAAGCTGTCCTTACATACTCCTGATGACAACAGCTTTCGTGCCTCACACCGTGGGCCCAGGACTACGTGGCAACGGATCTTCGCCGGCTCGATGTTACTTGTCCCACTGATTGATGAAGTTGCTGTTGCAGTGATAACATTCACCCCTTTCTTGAGCACCAGAAAACGTATACACTTGCTTTACCAGGATCTTTGGGGCAGGTAAACTCAGGGTATCCATGATGTTGAGAATTTTCCATTTCTGCCCCAGCAGCTGCATCCTGGAACTGCCCCAGCCCGGTATGCGAGATGCGAGGCTCGAAGTAGCTTGTTGTCACAGGGCATAACGTAGGTGAACTTCTACAGAAGCATGCAGACTGAGATGTTGCAGTTTCTCCAAGACATTGCTTCTATTAGCACCCTTAAGAACTGTAAACCCCCCTCCAGAACCTCCATATATTTTCCATATGCCCCTAGTGTCCCAGTCGTGGCCACTTCTTCAACCGAACCACCCGCCATATGAAATCCCTCTGCGCGAGGTCGAGCCAGCTGAGCTCCTGGCCAACCGGCCCATGGATGATCCCCTGGAGCTACTCGGGAGGAAGTAAGGTTGAGAAAAATCATAAGGGTACGTTTGGGGCCAAGGCTAGGGATTTCGGGGCCCGTGGCCTCCTCATTTGGAGTCCATATTTTGGACATTTAGACAGGTTGAAGTAGGGTCAAGGGTTCAGCAAAGAGCCTGGGTGTCCAGCCTGCCCTGGGTCAGCAGCCAAGCCGCTGCCGTGCCTTTTCATACCAGATTACCTAGCAATGACATCCAAAGCCTCGATGCAATCCTGACATATCTCTACTCCCTTGAAGATGTGTGAGAAGTTCCCAAAAAGGGTCCTCATGTCAGCAGCTCAGGTACATCCTCTATGCCCCCTGGACTGCAGTCAAGCTTGCGAAAGATTTGGGGTTCAGGGTTTGAGGTTTGGAGTCAAGGTTGATGAGCATGGGCCTCTGCTGCCAAGCATTGCAGACGAAGCGCCCCAATCAAAATGCAACCCCTAACCCTTTGGCTCCAAATTCTCAGAAAGTTCGCTGCACGGTTTGAGTGTTTGCGGTGAGCGTTTTTGAACGTTATGGTGGGGTCTGGCATCTGCTACACCGTGGCCTTCCAACTGGTTTTGTTGCACAGCTCAGGCCACGTCGGTGGGGGCGCCTTTGACAAATGTAGCAACATTCCTGCTGTGGTCCAGGGTTTCGCGCTATGATGCGTAGGTCGTCAAGTTCTCAAGACACAAACTTCATAACGTGTAAAGTTGGCGAAGCCGCAGGATGTGCTGAGGGCTTTGGGCTTGAAGGGCGGACATTGCCTCATCCATTTTTGTTGGCGGGTTTGCTGGCTTCGTCAGCCTTGGCAGGCTTCCATGGTGGTTCCTTGGAACCACCAAAGATCCGACAGCCTAGAGCAAAAGAACAAGCCGTAGACCCCAAACCAAGGCCCCGAGCCCTGAAGCTCAAACTCTTCAGACCCCAAGTCCTGAACTTGGGCTTAGGTGCCTTCCATCATTTACGACACTATCCGAGACCTGCGGCAGGCGGAACAAGAAAGTGTTGTATTCTTAATGGTGGATTAGCCCTCAATTTCTTCGCGTAGCCATCGATGCAGGCTTTGTTTCTGGAGAGGGTAGTGGGTATTCAGCAGGCTGGATGTCTGGGTAACTATGATTGTGTTTAGTACCAGTATCTGCAGGGGTGTTCGCCCTGCCTGTCGATTAGAAAGGTGGCCTCAAGAGCTTTTGAGCCTAGAAATCAAATTCCAGGCCCAAGGCGCAAGAAGAACCATCTGTGCCTCCTAAAGCTGCTACTTCCATGAGAGATGGCTGTAATTTTCCGGAACACTCTTCGAATCAGGAATATGCAGCAATAGTTGAGTGATCTTGTTCATGGTTGTTGTCCGTTTCCTGTGATCCTGTATATGAGGATCGTGTGCTTCTGGCTTTGGGCTTGTGGCGCTGCAGGGACACTTTGCAGGCGGAGCACTGTAGGGACACCCTGAGCTTGGGCACTACCGGTACGTTCCGCAACAGATCAAACCTCTTCTCTATTCTTACTTTCCTTTGTGGTCAAATTCATAGTCCCATTTTTGTCCGCCTGAACATTAGGGGCAGTTTTTCTATGGTGACCCAAAACTGGACCATAAATAACCCTCAGTATACTCCACAAATCCTAGTCTCTCCAATCTCTCCAACTAGTAGAGTGGTCCATATCGCGCAAATCGTCGGGAGGGAGATTGCAGCTCTGCTGTTGACCTTACCCAGACCTCAAGAGTAGGTAAACTACAGGCCCCTAAAAATTAGCGTGAAAGGTTCTCACTCTACATATTTTGGGGTCCGGACAAGAAGCACTTGGGTTGATCAGGCACGAGGGCAACGACTCGGCGCAATGCAGAGGCCAGGTTGCATGTACCTGCCCAAGCACCCACGACATTGGCTTATATTCCAATGTTTTGGGGGTTAATGGCTATTATTCTGGGTCTCTTTCGAGGTCCAGGTAACCTTAATGGCAGGGTTCCAGGCAGGCCGGAAAAGTCTCACGGTGTAGCCAGGTAGTTCGTATCCCAGGGTGTGCTGTAATGTTGACCTTCTTACTAGGGCCTAGTCAGGAATGTGGGAACATACTATATAGGGGTTATAGAGCAATTCTACTCCCGTATCCACTCCTAACCCTGAGCCCTAAACCCTACTAAGAACCAGTAAGGCTTTGGGGGATAGCAAACTGAAACCTTGGCATGCCTAGGTGCTACTTAGTAGGAACCTTATCGATCCCAGTAGTCAGCCATGGCAGGCATCGCAAGTAGGGCCATCATGACTCAATGGGGGATATGAGGATGTTACCCGGATAATGGAAGATCACATGGAAAAAAGATGGAATCTGGAATGGAAACTGGGGCCATCACGGCTCAATGAGAGGACTTAGCACAGTCTGTGCAAGTTCCGTTGATGAGCTCACAATCGACATTCCCGACACCGCGCAAACCTCCAAGGGATTTTTGGCTTAGTTCTGTGTTTTGCATTTCTGTACGACTGATGATGTTCTCTGAACTGGTTTGGGAGTACCGGTAAACGGAAGATCTCCACGGGGCTCACACCAAAGACGGACTAGCCTTGAGCCCCAGAATTGTTAGAAACATGAGACTTATAGCCCCTCTTAAGTAGATAGAACAGGGGGTATATGACTGTGATATTGGGTAATTCCATATTCTATACCTAAGGCTAAGGGGGACTATCAACCCAAACCGCGTGATGCGGCAGGAAGCTTCCAGCCATCCACTTCGTGCGGCTTGTCTGAGATTGCCTTGCGGACAAAAACTCAAGAAAGCCAGATGAGTATAGTAGTTTTCATGAGCAAGAGGCTCCAATATCAAACCCAGTATATTATAGTCCTCCGTCGAGGGACGCCATATTCCTCCACAAGTATATATCAGAACGCAGCCCACAACTCACAACCCATTCTAATTTTGTATGGCGCTACATTATGATGCTCACCTGCCATCTTCTTCAGAACTCAACTGCTTTGTCAGAGTGGATTTGCTGTAGGTCTTCATATTCGCTGCATGACCTTCCTATGCAAGTAGCTGGTGCAGTGCCAGGGCCGTGAATGGAGTTTTTTTGTAAAGATGGTGGTGCCCGTTTGGGGTCCCCATAATGAGGACTGTAGCCCATATTAATATTAGGATTCCCCTATTTTTGGAAATTTCCACATGTGGGTAGGTAGTTCTCTCATGTCCTGACATTTTCTTGTTTTTTTGAGAGAACTCTTGGACGACTTCATCGGGCCATACTGCACGTGTCCAGCACATGCGTTTGTATTTGTATGAGCTGTACTAGATATGTGCCGTTGAACGTTTGTCGAGCCCCTGTGCAGAAGTCCGTCGACATTACTACGCAGATTCCTTGCATGCGAAATCTGAATTGAAATTTGGGCCTCAGTGGTACCAGCCGGAATTGTGACATGGGGATCCCAGCAGGGAGTAAGACGCAATTCCGCTGCTGATGTGAAACTTCTGTGAAGAAGAGCGTTGTCTTTATGTAACCCCAATATTATGGTAGTTTCCATTTTCTTTTCCATTATGCCAATATAACCCCAATATATACCATAAAATACCTATATATAACCCCTATAGTCCCTGCAGTTTGGTTTTGCCGCTCAAAGGTGCCAATACCAAGATTAGCTGTTCACGGCTGGCACAGATAGCGAGCGTCGTAGGGTTGAGACAATCATCTTTGGGGTTGATCGGGTTGGGAGTTGGAAGATTGTGCTGGGAATACTTTTCATTGTCATTCCTACAGCCTCAAAGCTTGAATCAAGACCTGATCCCAGAGTGCTGCAATCTTCGCCCTGATGCCATCTGTCAAAGACGATGGCGAACAGTTGGGCCTCGATGCCCCAACCACAACGAAACTTGAGAAATCGGCCACAGATTACCTACAACAGTGGAAGTACTTCTGGCAATAGAGAATCTTTGCGGGGTGTGTGTTTCAAATTAGGGGTGCGTTGGGGACCCGAAGGATGTGGGGACTTCAAAGGGATTATTGGGCCTCCCTCTACATAAAAGGCCTCGTTGGGGTGATTTTGAGACATGCCCTGATGAGGCTGCTTTACGTACTCGGCATCTTGGAGTTGATGGCGTTCCCACTGCTGGGCGCGGGGACTTTCTCCATGGCGCCAGATGAGAAGCCTCTCAGCTAGTGACGAAGTCTGAACCATTGCCAAGATTTTCCGTCATCATCCCGATAACAATCTCTTTTGACATTCTTGTATAAATAGCGTAGAATATACTTCAAGACCCCCATTCTAATTGCTAACCCGAGTTCTACAAGCTCAAAGGTCGAACTCCAAACACCAGAAGCCTGTACTGAATCTCGTGGATATGGGGGCCTGGAAAATTTGAGATTCTCTGGTCACCTGGGGTGACAAACTCTGCTCTGAAGTGCCCATCATCCAAGGGTCAGCCCAGAATGAACTCAGGTTTAATGCAGAGGACAATTGTAAACCCTGATGAGCTTCTTGTGCCATCCCAAAGGCCATTCAAAGAAGCTGACGCGTTTTCTTGTGGTTTCAGATTTGGGTATTTACTAAAGTCCGTGTCCCTGGTTATACGCTCCAGACTACGGGGATCCTTATGGACATTCCTGAAGTGGAGCCCATGATTTTGAGAAACTCCCATTTAAGACAGCAGACTCAATCGCCACAAGGATTCTGAGCATCCAGGCTTTGTTCTTCGGCGCCATGTCGGGCGCTATCGCCGCTCGCATTTGCATGGATGTCAAAGGAGTTGTGAGCATGCCAAAGATTATTTGGTGGTGCAAGGGGGTACACGGGGTGAACTTGGGGTCAGACATTGGAGTCTGTTAAACTGTTATATCATCCCCAGCAACGATCTTCTTAGTGCCCCCATATATCTGATTATATCTGTAGGGTCCCCAAGGGCCCGCGTTTTGAGAAAGTCTCATATAGGGGTTCATTTGTTCAGGACAGAAAATGTGCAGGAACAGGCTCAGCCAGAGTTGAGCCGCGGGTAGATGTAGATTGGGCTGTTTCTTGCTGCTTAAAATTCTACTATCACAAAATGATATCAAAGATATCATTTTTTTTTATGTATTTTTTTTTATCTATCGCTAGCTGAAAGAATCAAGCGCAAGTCACAGAAGAGCTCTTGGCCAAAAGCTGGATACCTGTAAGCCCTTCACAACACCCAACTTTGACCTACACCCCAACGCCGGAGTCCAAATGAAGCAGCCAAGGTCATGACTCTGCAGGTCATCTACGAGCTCTGGAAGCCCTTCGGTGGGGCATACACCGTAGACACGGTGCGCCCATCCCGGAAAAAGAGTTACCAGAAACACGTATGACCTGTGGAGGAGTTGGACTTGAGGTGGTCGCAATTGTTTGGTGACTGTGGGCATGTAGTTGCAGTGATTTTGCTGAAGGTATGTGGAAGTTGAGTCTTTGCAGGCCCATTTTGTTTGGCTTTGCTGGCACGTGCTTTTCTGTTTGGTTTAGCTGGCACGTGCTTGGATGCGAAAAGCAGTTTCCTTGGAAAGCAATTTCCTTGAATTAGGGGGCACAAGTGCGCACCAAATCTGCAAATTGGTTGTGGAGGGAGCCCTGACAAAAAAAAAGTTGTGGATCACGACTGAGTGTGACCGCGGCTTCTGACCCCAGCTCATAGCTTGACCATGTTGAGCCGAACCTTGCAGTATATAGAGTTTGGCAACAATATGTCCACCAAAGGAGTCCCTTGAAAGGACAAGGGGCTTTTGAGAGTATGGGGGATCTTTTGTGAGGACTACCCCTGCGCGTCTTTTCGGCAACTCTGTAATTACCACACTTATTCTCCTCCCTGCAGGGAACTACTTGGACAATCCACAACTAGCCAGAAGCCTTGTTCGCCCTTGAGACAATTTTCGCAATCGCCCCTGAAAGCTCCTGCAAAGCCGCATCGATGGTACCTAAGCGGCTAGATCTAAACCTTAAGCTCTAAACCTTATTGCACCTTCAACTCTACGCATGTTATGCGAATCTTGTCTTGGGTCATGCGTCATTACAGCAAGAGCCCTTGACAGAAGGAACTTTTATCCAGCTCCTGTAGCACTTTTTGTGGCAAATTGTACTGTGCTGAGAGGGGAATGGCTCAAAATAGACTCCTCTGTGGTATAGAAAGTCGGAGCAGGCCCTGGAGAAGATGGTGCAGGGCCTAGAGGAGGCGCACTGGAAGAGTGTGGGCGTAAGGTGTAGGGCTTGCAAAATCTAGAGATTTGGGGGCGCGTAAGGTCTCTGAGCTCTGAATTGCTTGAGGGAGCAGTACGCAGCTATACTGTCGATACTCTATAGGAATCATGTATGATAGTAAGTATCCTAAACCGTGGGAGTGCTGGGAATTGAAGAGGGCGCTGTAGGTTGAGGGTTGACCAAAGGATCCCAAGCTCTGAACGGATTGGAATTGATTAGACGTCTTGGACCTAAAGGTTCCCCATAAAAAAAAACCCAGCGAGTAAGAGCACGTGGGAGCCAAAATGGTCGCAGAGATGATTGAAGCACCTCATGTCACATTTACTCTGCGTGTGCATGCTCTTTGGCATGTTTCACGGACCAGCATGTTTGGATCAGGTAGTTTGAATTAAGTCAAAATACAACCGAGAGCATACGGTTGTAGCACAAGCGTGAAGATCCTAAGCTTGATGTGCTGTGTTGGGGCTTTGGGGGACCGTTGCAGGTTTAAGCGAAGCAGGCAGTGGATGCTCCGGAATGGTGGGTGGTCGGTACGGGCTGAGGGTACTGTGCTGGAAGGCGGTTGGGCACAACAACCAGCGGGCAGTACTTATCAATATCCATCCCATTATGAGATTTGCCCACATTACAAGCGGCGAAAACTGCAGCCCACAAACCTCCAAGCCTTGAACTACGTATCCCAACTCTCCCCACACCTGAAGGAGCTCCGTGTACGAAAGCGCGTATGGCAGCCCATGAACGGTGTGGACTCCACCCAGGCCCCGCCACCCCAGCCATCCCACAGAGACCCCTGTGCCTGTAATGAAAGACTATGCCTAAGCTGTTTTTAGACGTATTCGGCGCTGAACCCCTATATAATCCCAGTTTCCATTTCATTTTCCATTTTCTTTTCCATTTGATTAGCCACTACGGCTCAAATAGCTTCCAGTGTAGGTAGTAGCGAACACAACTCGCCTGCACACAGGAACCG